TGCCTGTTCTGGAGTGTAACTTCGGCTAGGGAGGATAATTGTTATAGGAACTGGATTGACTGAGCTGTAGTTTCCACTGTTGAAGTGAGATCCCGTCTGAGGTCCTCCATTTCTTGAGAAAGATGCTGGGTTGAGATCAGGGTGTGTCCCAAGCCTCCGGCCGCGAGTCCTGTGGCTGCCACTGATGCCACCAGGCTAACTCCTACCAGGACTGCCAAGGTGGCTGACCTCTTTGTTCTGGTTCCTTTTGTCCCTGTGGATAAGACATCATACACCTCTCCTGGTACGTATAGGGCTAGTTTGGGGATGGATGAGAATGACTGGAGCACAGGTGTCCTCAATCTGTGGAGAGATGCAGGAGATTTTGGAAGAACAGAGAAAGAGCAGTCCCGAGGTTAGAGCAGTATCTTCCTTAATTGTGACATTTCAGCTTGATGAGTGTGGGCACTTAGAGGTTTGTGGAGTCCAACACTCTGTTTTGTTAAGAAAAAGGGGAGGGGCAGGCATGGGCCCCTGTACTAGAAGTTCCCGAGAACACTGAGTAGTTGCCTGCGGAGTAACATTGTAAACTGAGAGAGGGAGGAGACGTGAGCCCTGCAGGCACTTCATGGCACTTCCTCTCCTGTGTCCTAGACTGGGAAGGGGAAGACAAGAGGAAGAGGTTCAAAGCAACCAGCCACACTGTAATGTGAATAGGGCAAAGGTGCACTCCTATTTGGTCTGGGAGATCACAGACAGCTCCTCTATCAAGTTAAGTCTGAGCTGAGGCTGGGAGGACAGACAGGAAGTATCAGGTAAACAGGAAAGAATGAAAGGCAGGCCAAGGGCAAGAAAATAATGTCTGGTAAATGTTATTTCAGACCTGTTTCTTACCAGTTTCTGAGCTTATCTTTGTAGTCAGAGGGGCAGCGAGATTTCCTGGGTGCTCAGGCCAGTGAAGGAGGGTGGCACATCTGTGGGCCTTTGCACCCTCATGCATGGTCGAGGCACAGGACTGACGGGGTACAGACCTGTGGACAGGAGAGCAGTGGTCAGGGGAGGTCTCCAGGAGGCCAGATGAGCAGAGTCTTGAAAGACAAGTGAGAATGACAGGCAGGGG